GTAGGTCCTCCAATGTAACCATTCATTTACTCAATAAAACATGGGTTTCTCGTTTTCAATTACATGATTTGTATTTGTTAATATGCATGTCTTTGATCTCAAACTCGTTAACATACTAGAAAATACTAGCTTAAAAGGAACTCATTTATTTCGAAGCCAAGTCAAGTATTTCGAAACATTCCTTCTTTTCTCTATAGGTAATAGAATGCCACTTCGAAGGCAATTTACTTGGTAGAAAGTCCAAAAAATGTACTCTCATGACCTTCGAAATGTTAAATGGGTCCTAACTCTATATGGGTCAAATAAAACCCAAATAACTTGGAACTAATTGACTCGTTAGGTTAAATGGGCAACTTAGACAATAACGTATATAATTTTCGCGCTCTTACCTATTCACTTGTCAATTTCTAACTCTTACTCCCACTCTTACTCACCCCTGTTCTTACTTCAGTTCCTATTCATTCCTACTCTTGCTCTTACTTTTTCAATTCCTCTGTTAACTCTCAATAATGGCTAGTTCTTCCTTTACAAACCTTTCAGTTGTCGAACGTCTTTATCCTTTAATGGCTTTGAGGAGATGTACATATGAGGAAATAGTCAAGTATAACGAAACAGAGGGCCATAGTGCGATTGATGGAAAGTATTTCGTCCCCCGCAACAGTGCAAAGGGAGAGTATGTTCTTGGCCTTATTTGTACTGAGGGCCCTACTACATTTCCTCCTTTGTACCTATGCTTGGAAGATCACTACCTCCTTTATGAAAGGAAGTTCAACTAAGGGGGTTGGAGGACGTTTCGACCTCATCATTGCTGGCCCGCATTGAAGATAGAATGGGAGGAATGGTATGATAGGGTTGTCGAAGCCAGGGGGTAGGACCTAGAGGTCCTCTGCATTCTTGATGCCCTTCGACTTTCCAAGTTTATAATTCCTGAAGAGCCTTTCCTTATCCCAGCTGCTCTTTGTTTTTGGAACTATACTTTTAATTTTTTTTAATTTTGGTGTGGTATGATGGTCTCCACCGTTTCTGATATGTGTCATCTTCTAGAGCTCTCACCTATTGGTGACCCCTTTGGTCCTGATTACCCAGACCTTACTGTTTCTTTCTCTATTCCTACTTCGAATCCTTCTTATAGTGAGTTTATAGAAGCAGAGAACAATGAGGAAGGTCCTGTGACCAATCGAGAATTCTTTTCTTTTATTCTTTACTAATTTTGCAAGTTTCTTTTTTGTATCTCTTCCCAAAAAATAATGCCTGAATTTATCCCTCTTGTCAAAGCTCTGGCTTCGAAGAAGAGGACAACCTTGGCCCCTTATGTTCTAGGCCATATGTATAGGGTTTGCTCCCAATTTTGTGAAAGGCATTTAGAACCCAATCAAGAAGGCCCTATTTGGGTCCTCAAACTCTGGCTTTTTGCTTACTTTCCTGATTTCTATTCTCGTTGCTTGAAATTCTTGGTGCAAGGGTCCACCACTTATGAAGAGAAGTATGCCTTGGTTTCCTTAAACCCTTCCAGTTTTGCCTATTATTCTTCTTATTTCCATAGCCTCATAGCCTCTATTCACCCTTCCTTTTTCTACCCCTTTGATGTCAATGTGGGGCTAGCCTGACTGAGGGTCTTATTGGCTGACACTATTTGCTCCAGGCCTAATCACAAGGAGATGTGGGCCTCAATATTAATTCCAAGGGAGCTCTTGGTTGGCACCCTAAAGCCCAAGGCCTACAAATGCATTGTTGAGGCTTACTACCCTACCCAATTCGCAAGGCAATTCAGGCTTACCCAGGGGATCCCAGTCCCTCTCTACAGCCTCTCAAACTCTAACATTGACACTAGAAACTTGAAGGTTTCAAGGCTCAGGCTAGATGAAACAATAATCAAGGTTTTAAAGGATACCACTAGCTTTGAGTTTGTGTCTTTCATTGGCCATAGTGGGGTCATGAGACGGTTTCAAGATTGGTGGTCAACCAACATGGAGGTGCGTCTTGCCATTCCTACATTGGATTTGCTAAAAAAGTTGGATGTGACATTCTAAGGTAGGCCAGCCAAAACCAAGGAGGTTAGCATCACCATTGCTTCCATCCCTGCTGTTTCAACCCCTTCACTCATAATTTCTAGGGCTACCATTAAGAAAGGTACATGTTTTAACTATTCCTTTTCCTTTTTTCACCTTCTTTTATACCTTTCTTATCCTCAGTGCTTCTTTTCACTGGTATAGGGGCTTTGTAGGAGGCCTCACCTCAGCGAGCACAAGCCCTTGTCACATTGAAGGGAAAACAACAAGAATTAAAGAAAAGAAATGCCCAACTCAAGCTTGAGCCTGTGGAAGAGGCACCTAGGTCTTTTCAAAAGAAGGGGAAGAAGAGAAAGATGAGTCTCTCCTGAAAAGAAGAAAGAGGCCAACCTCACCTATTGCCAAACTTATCATGGATTTTTCTCATGAAGCAGTAACCAAGGTAGTAGAGAAGGAACATGCCAAAGAGGCTATTGTGTTCCAGAGATCAGAGAAAAAGAGGCAACAGGAAATCTCAAATGAGGAGGTTGCTGCTGTTGAGGCAGCACAAAAAGAGGATGGAAAGAAAAGCAGAGCTGCTAAATATCACACTCTTCGCAACTCTCCAGCTACCACCACTACAACTACTGGTAATTCTCTTAAGCCCTTTATGATGCCCTTTATCTCTTATATCTTTTATGTTAGTATTTCCCTTATACGTCTTTCTTTTGAAATGCAACAACAACTGGCTTGTCCTTCTCCTATTTAATGCTAGTTTTTTTTTTCTTGGGGAAGAACTGAAAGGCCACCCTTGAGTTCCACAGAGTTAGAAACCTTAAAGGGAAAAAGAAAAGAAGACACCAGCTTCTCAATGAGTGTAGAGCCCCTGCAAACAATACTTCTAATCCTTACCTTTACATTCCCTATGGCTTCTTCCTTAATTCCTTCGAGGTTTGATATGCCAATCTTTCTATCCTCCTCATCTCCTAGCACTACTGAGTTTCTTAGTTTGCCGTTGGTGTCCATTGCCTCACCTCTGCCTATTTCCCTATCATCCAGAGTCTTGGTTACCCTTTTGCCTTATGAGAGTACCCTTGTTGCCACTCTTACTTCAGTGGCAGCTAGTACTTCTAAGGGTGGCACACCAATACTTCCTTTACTATCTAGCTCCAGTCCCACTTCCTTAGACTTGCTGGTGGCCAAGACCATAGATGCTGTTGAGGCATCCTCCTCTCCTTCTCCCGTACCAATTCTTCCCGCATTTCCTTTCACAAGTGACCTTTCTACAATGCCCTTTTCAGAATAGGAGATGGACATTTTTGAAGCCCAGCTAGCGAGCTTATTTAATACATCTACACCAGCTCTACCAATTGGTAGTGATACTGAGCCACTAGACTTAATTGACTTCTTACTGGAGAAAATTAAAAGCTCATCTGTTGCTGAGTCCATTTCCCTTCCTCAAGTAGACTTGGGCACTTGTTTAGAGCTCATGAGGACCTTCTCAAGGATTCTATTCGAGGCTTTACAGAAACCAATCATCAAGAATGGATTCCTTAAATGCTGCCAGCTCCTCGAATAATCTAATGTTGCCTTTAGAGGCCATTTAACCCAGGCAGCAGCAACCATTGACTTTTATGCCAATATTTGCCAAATGGCTAAGGTTGTAGAAAAAGGGCTGTTAAAAGATAAGGAGTTTGTCTCCCACATTCACTTTGAAGTTTCAGTGCTAAAGGGACAACACTCCTCTACCTCACAACTTCAGGCTCAACTCTTGAATAGGAAGACAAAATTGGAGAATGAGCTAATAGTAGTTATCTGGCCTTGGAACAGAATGCAGAGAGGTTGCACACTACACACTAAGACTATCAAGCTGTAGGTAGGATATGAACACTACCATATAATTGTTCCCATCACTCAAGAATAGAGAGCTTATTGTAAGGAAACAATTGAAACATTATAATGAATTTTGGGCCAATTTGTGGCACAATGTACTTAAATTTTTGTGAAATGAAACATCATTATTTTACACAAGTGTTTACTGTTTTTACTCAATGTTTCCATATAGTATCTCTAAACTCCATACACCTCCCATACAGTTGGGTAATAAAGTTTCAAATATTTGCCATTAATTTTCTTAGGATGCAAATATCCATTTAAAATTTTCGAATGGTAGACTCCTCCAAGCAAGACTCTATGGACTTGGTATGGTCCATTCAAATTAGATGACCATTTGCCAAACTTGTGGCTTTTAATTCTTATTGGAAGTATTGTTTTCCAAATCAAGTCTCCCTCGTCAAAGTTGATGTGTTGAACCCTTTTATTGTAGTTTTTGGCTGCCTTTTTCTTTTGTAAAAAAATATTATTTAATACCAAAATTCTGACTTCATCCACACCTTTTAATTCTAAATGTATGCTTTGATGATATTGATCAATACTTACTTAGATGGTCTTGGCATTTTACACTCAAGGACTTGATATTGATCTCCACAAGCAGCATTGCATCAAGCTCCATATACTGAGGCATAAGGAGTAACTCTTGTACTTGATCTCTGGGAAGTCCTATAAGCTCACAACACATCTAACAACAAGTTGTGTCAATCCCTAAGATTGTCTTCCACAACCTTTTGTATTCCTTTCAGTAGTTCAAAAATAATTTTTGTTTATGGCACATGTTTTATTTTTATAATCATCTCATTTAATACTTAATTGTAAATAATTTTATTCAAATAACTGTAAAATGTTGGCTAAAAAAATGCCTCAAAAATAATTTTTGTTTACGACACAATTTTTATTTTTATAATCCTTTAATAATTGTGAATATTTTTTATTCAGTTAGTTCAGGTATTGGTCAAAAATAATTCGTAAACATTTAAAATCAATTATTCTTAAAGTCATTAACTGTTGAAATAAAATGTAAAAAATTCCTTTTATAGTGATTTAAAAATATGTATATTGAAACATACTTAAAAATTGATTAAAATCTATTTTAAATCTCAATAAATGTGATTCTGAAAAAAATAATAATATGTGTATCGGTAAGTTTTCTTCAAATTGTGCGAAAAATAAAAAAAAAATCACGGTTCCGCAAATTGTGCAAAAAATAAAAAAATAATCATTGTTCCGATTACTGCAACCGTTACACTACAGCCTTTACATCCCACAATCGCAACCATGCCACCGCAACCACTTTTGAGAACCTTGGGTATGAGAATATCAAAATCACTAACAGTCCATTCTACAACTTGATCAGGATCTACATATATTTCAGTTCCCAAATTGACCGATGTCCATTGCCTCCTAGCCGGTGGAGTCCCTGGATCCTGCAACAAGAAATTCACATAAAACAGATTTTTTATAACTTTACTCATTATTAGTTTTATTATTATTATCTAAACAGAGAAAAGACAAAAAAAAAAAAAAAAGGAATTCAACATTGGGTTAACTCATTAAAGCTTTATATCCCATGTTTAAAGTGAATTAAATCATTTCCCATCCATTCTGCTTTTTGTAGAACCATTTTATATTGTAACCCTCTGTTTTTTTAGTGAAAAATGTTCCTTCAAAATTTTGTCTATATTTTTTGAAGTTTTGTACGATGGAAAACAAAAATTAACAACAACAAAAAAAAGTTTTCTGTTATCAATAGAAAACATTTACTGTGATAAATGGAAACAAGCTTATTTAGAAATAAAATATTTATCGCTTTTCAAATGTGGAAAATATTTTGTCAACTAAACTCACACCAACGTTGCCACTACTACTATCACCACCCCCCCATTGCCACCAACAGCTTCCACAATCACTAGCACATTAGTTTCAACCTCGTAATCAAGCATAGGAAAAAGTTTTCTACTGAAAATATTTTTGAAAAATATTTTTCTTACGTTAAAAAATGTTTCCTGCTAAAATAAACGAGTGTAATTGATATGTTTATTTTCATCAAGATCAATGGAAATTAGGGGAAGTGAAGATCATTAGTAAAGAAGTTAATTTTGACCTGGTAAAAGTAAAGAGATTGAGAAAGTCTCCCCACATCAAGCTCCCATGTCCTGGGGTGCCCAATCCAACCCTGCCCTTTCTCTGTAGGGTACCCATAATCACCCCAAACTTTGTGAGGCACAATTTGCAAGATTTCCTGGGGCTGAGGATTGCTAAATGGATCACACAAAATGTTTGGCTCCTCAATGTGCTCTCCATTTCCAGGGGCACAGTACAAGTGATATGCCTCGTAAGGGAAGTTGGCTATGTCACTGCGATGAACACGAACACCGTTTGGGAATGTATGGTAAGGCGGGCAGAATCTAGGTTTGTCTGCTCGGCACCACAAAGGTGTTTTTGGATTTAGTATCATCTCGCTGTATCGGGTTACATCTGAAGCTACATCACCATCACATGGCTGCCCATTGTTCTTCCAACAGCTCCCTATTTCCATCAAGTAGAATTGGCTTCTTGGACCACCTCCTTTTATCACATTTAAGGTGAACTTCACTTTGAAGTTTGGTGATTCTGGAATCTGCACGATACATAATGTTTAGTATGACTAATATGCTAGTCATATACAACCACAAAAAGCAACACCTTCAAATTTTTAAGGTAAATTTTATTTTCGCTCCTAAAGTATTGTCTATTTCTCACTTTGATTTTTGAAGAAAAGATTCTCCCACGTTGATCTCTCAACTATCAAACATTTCGAAATTTATGGATGTGCAGTTCGTGAATGGTGTGGTGATTTTGATGGTTATAGAAGTGGTGGCAATGACAACGGCTAGTAATGTGGTTGATGGTGGTACAATCGGATTAATTATGGTGCTGTTGAGGTATTGGTGGCTGGTTGTAGTGGAGGGAGAGTAATGGGCAAACAGAGGTCAACAATAGTGGCAAGAAGTAGAACAGAGAGAGATAAGGGGAGAGAAAGATAAGGGAAAAGAAGAGGATAGGTGGTTTGGCTAGGTTTGGGTCTATCTGGTGCTATATTGTTGCCAACGTGACATTTTCCCTCAAAATTTGGACAAACATTGTGGATTAGGCTAAATTGGAATATAGTTTAGAAATCAAACTGGGCAAAGTGTAATTTACATATTTTCATAGTTACCCATGGATATGGGTTGGGTTAGGGGCTCTTGTGCTACGTGTTCTTTTTGTTACAAAACAAAAAAGGCTATTGCAAATGTACCAACCAAGTAAAAAGTTTGATTGTTGAAAAACCAAAGTGTGATAACCTTTTTTTAAAAGAATCAAAGTAAGAATTGGATAATACTTTTAAGAAGTGAAAATGTAATTTACCATGTTTTAAATCACTTAAAAAAATTGACTTACAATTTTTGACATTCCTCGGGTTTGGTAATGATACCCACCGGAGAATCCAGCTGTGGCATCGGACCTCAAGTAAAGCATCAACCATGGATACTTGGTTGAGGTCCTCAAGATATAATGAAAAACCCAACTTCCTCTTGCAAGTTCCTTCTCCCAAGTCACAGAATAATAAGAAAGTTTCTCTACAATACCTTTCCTCAAATCAGCATCCAAGTCCCATGACCCAAAGAACCTTCCTTTGAGTGTAGTTATATTAGGCCCTTGTAAAGTGGTGTAGTCATGATAAATCAATGGTTGGTTCATACACCCTTTGCCAAAGCAAGGGAACGCATGGTTAGGACCATATGGTCCAACCCTGTTACCATTTTTAGGGCAGTTGGCTGCATAAGTGTCCATGTTGCCACTCTTGAGCATGATCATCCAGAATTGCCATGGATTGGGTTTGTCTTCAACTTGACATTTAGACCCTAAGTAGAGCTCTTTTTCGGCAGCATATAGGTTGATGTTGGTCAATGCCTCTGGTCGCCCTCCGGGGAAAGGTTGTCCCACTCCAAGCTTGTTGTCTACCTCTGTAACTCTATGGACTAGTATGTGTGGAATGCAATTGCAAATGGAGAAGGTTTCCTTCCCTAATCAAGAACATTTAATTAAAAATAAAAGATAAAAAAGTTAAGAATAAGAATTTGAGAAAGTTGAAGAAAAAAATAAAAATATATTTGTATGTTATGTTGGATTTGGTTACTTGCTAGTTACAACCACCGCTGATCAAGGACATTGAAAATATTACAAATAAATCAAAAAGAGTTGAAGAAAAACATTTTAGTAACAAATTTTGTTTTTTTAATCATATTATGTTGGATTTGGTTATATACAAGTTACAACTACTCCCTCTGTCTCTCAACTACAAAAGAGAATAGTTGTTAAGCTAACAGAACCTTGATGTTGTTGTACTAAAATCCAATGATAACATAGTGCTTTTTATTTAAATGACAAATTTTAAATGGTGCTCTGAGACCACAGTTAAAAGCTGCGTTCTTGCAGTTTGGTAAAAAGTTAGAAACAAACTTTTTTTAGCCTGAAAGTGATTTGGGAAGGTAGATAAAAATTTAATGTGAAATTACAGTTGTACTCTTTAGATGCAAAATGAGCCACATGGTTGAAAATGTAAATTTTCTAAATTGGGTGCCGTATTTTGATCAATTGATTATGATGTGATAGTATAAACAAATATTAAGTAAAAAAGTAAAAAAAAAAACTTTTTATCAACTTTTTCAAATGGTTTTCGGAAAAAGCCAAAAAGTTTGGTTAAAACCGAAAGCTAACTTTTAACCATCTTCCAAAGCATCCCTAACCCTGAGTATCAAATACACTAATACAACAAAAACAAGAAATAAAAGAACCGATCACAGAATTAGACTTCTATCAAACAATTATGTTATGAGCAACCAAAGACAAAAAAAAAAAAAAAAGAAAGGAAGAAGAAGAAAAACTCAATGTGAAAATGGAGGTTTTTGTTTGAAAACAAACTTCTCTATTCACGTTGTTTTGTGAAATCGCGTTTTGAGCACAAGGCAGAAGTCATGTTAATTTTGAAAACACAATTTCATTAATATGGTGCTTTCCAAACACAAACTTTAAAATTGTCTTAATTGCAGTTGTGTTTTAAAAACAAGTTCACCATTGAACCCGTGTTTTCAACCCTGCTTCAATAAACAGCCCACGTTTATAAAATAAATATAGAACAACTTGTATTTTGAAAAGTAAAATTTATCTAACAACATGGATTGATAAAAAAAATAACTGTGAAAATAGACCTTTAGTTTGTGGTGCTGTAGTAGTAGCTTGACGTTTACCTTTATAAACATCAAAGCAATCAGCAGCTCTAGGACTGCCCATGAATGGAGCTTCTTCACCAACCTCATTGCATTGATTCCAAGCCTCTATTGCCACTCTCAGCCCATCTCTTCTCATCCCTGGATCTCCCACTGCTGATATGTACTCTTCTTGATCATCATCTCTTTCATTCCTAGTCTCAATCTTCACACAAAAAAGCCCAAAAACCAGAAGAAGAGTGAGAAGAAAGGAAGGTGGGTTTCTTCTGGGTCGTGCCATTGGTAAATAGATTTGTCAGAGAAGCTGTAAAATGGAGGGGCCATTTGGGAAGAAAATAAAAAATTAAAAGTCAGATTTTAATTTATTTTCACTCATATTACTTCTCACAATTTTTATTTAAAAAAATTAAAAAAACCAATTTTTAATCATCTTTCCAAAATATTGGGAATACGTATGCGTACGGGGTAAGATGATGCTCCTCTTTTATACCAGGAGAAAAGATTGGGGCTGTTCGGAATGGATGCATACTTATAATATAAAAATGATATTATCTATACTATTATCTTAAGTAATGGTTGGACGTGGTGTTTGAACATTTGCTTTATTCTCTTTATGTCACAAATCTGTCATTTTTAATTAAAACAAAAAATTCATAATATCATGTGAAATAATTATAATTTGAATACGATAATTTTTAATTTGTGATTAAAAACTCTATTTTGTCTTTTTGTGACTATTTTAGCCCCAACCCATCCCTAACTCAAATGCCAAATGTAATACGTATTTTGTTTTATTTTTACTTATTTAAATTATCATTACAACATATAGGGTTGGTTTGGGAAGTGGGTTGGCTTTTTGACTTTTTTGGCTATTTTGGTCTGGGCTAAAAAGCTTGGTTTGGGAAGGATTTTTTGACTTTTTGACTTTTTTGTGAGAGAATAGTGTAATGATTATGGGTTGAATGTGATGTTTTGTTTGTTGTGGCTAAAATAGCCTATTTTGTCTTTTATGACTAAAATAGCCAAAAAAAACCAACAACCTATCTTCCCAAACGGAGTCTAAGAGTTTTAGAGATCAAATATTTTGATATTTAAAAGTAAAAATTTTGTTACAAAAGATATTTAAGGACCAATTTCCATCATCATGAGGATAGTCGCTAAAATGTCGTCTTGAAAAGTAAAAAACAAGGCTTTTAGCGACAAAATTTTGAAAATGTTACTAATAAATAGACTTTTAAGGACAAAATAATTTGATCTCAAAATGGTTTATTTTTTGAGACAAACAATTTGGTCCCAAAAGATAATAATTCATCACCAATGTCCAATTTTTGTCACTAAAAATATAATGACGAAACTTTTTGCAACAAAATTATTTGGTACCTAAAAAATAATTTTGTCCTTTATGTCACAAATCTGTCATTTTTAATTAAAACAAAAAATTCATAATATCATGTGAAATAATTATAATTTAAATATGATAACTTTTAATTTGTGATTAAAAATTCTATTTTATCTTTTTCTGACTATTTTAGTCTCAACCCATCCCTAACTCACATGCCAAATGTAATAAGTATTTTGTTTTATTTTTACTTATTTAAATTATCATTACAACATATAGGGTTGGTTTGGAAAGTGGGTTGGATTTTTGACTTTTTGACTTTTTTGATTATTTTGGCCTGGGCTAAAAAGCTTGGTTTGGGAAGGACTTTTTGGTTTTTTAACTTTTTTTACTTTTTTTTTTTTTGTGAGAGAATAGTTTTGTGAGAGAATAGTGTAATGATTATGGGTTGGATGTGATGTTTTGTTTGTTGTGGCTAAAATAGCCTATTTTGTCTTTTATAACTAAAATAGCCAAAAAAGCCAGCAACCTATCTTCCCAAACGGAGAGATCAAATATTTTGATATTTAAAAGTAAAAATTTTGTTACAAAAGATATTTAAGGACTAATTTCCATCATCTTGAGGATAGTCGCTAAAATGTCGTCTTGAAAAGTAAAAAACAAGGCTTTTAGCGACAAAATTTTGAAAATGTTACTAATAAATAGACTTTTAAGGACAAAATAATTTGATCTCAAAATGGTTTATTTTTTGAGACAAACAATTTGGTCCCAAAAGATAATAATTCATCACCAATGTCCAATTTTTGTCACTAAAAATATAATGACGAAACTTTTTGCAACAAAATTATTTGGTACCTAAAAAATAATTTTGTCCCTAAATTTTAGTCTCTAAAACCTTAATTTTTTGTAGTGACACGCATTACGTGTGCTAGCCGCTAATAGTATATAAGCATAAAATATGGAAGTGTAGATGTCCCCGAACGCCCCAGGAGGATGAGTCCCGTTCTGTTCATTTTGGGCTCACTACAGTTCGGACTCTCAAATTGTCACGGTTCTTAATCTGAACCAAAGAGTCCAAATCCGGCAAATCATTTTGAGAAACAGATTTTTGAAAAGAAGTGCCAAACATGGACTGCTTTTGCTTTGCCAGATACAGAGTCGCCACCTAAATATTTATTTTTGGAAAATTAGGAAACCCTGAAACTCGTTGCCTAGCCACTGTCCGTCATCACCAAAGTTACCTCGGCTTCGGGAACTTCTGTACGATTGGGAAGTCACCTTCGCGTAGCACCCCGCGCCCGATCAAAGATCGCCTACTACTAACCATGATATCTAGTTTTGAAAACTTTATGCGTTCTTATTCCGGTTATAGCCTAGATTTACTGTGTATGCCACAGCATACAAGTATAGACTGATCGTCTGAATGATGAAACAAAACATTTCATGTTTATTTTGAAAGTGGTTTGATGCTACCCGAATAGCTAAGACGTATTTGCCACCATCGCGGTGGCCTTAAGAAAATAATATGATTTGCCACTATCTAGGTGGCTTAAACTCACATCAATGCATTTATTTCTAATTCAAAATTAATCCCAACCTTCACCCACAGGCATTCAGGTTTAGTTATATCACATAAGCATATAAACCTCATGGTAAACATTGCTATTCATGCAGTCACTCACACACATGCAAAGATGCTATAAGCTAAACACTTACCGAGTACTCCAACCCAAACAAAACTATGTTAGAAACCCATGCATGATCCTAAACTATACAGAAATGCCTAATGCCAACACATGCAAAATGCAACTAGATAGGCCTCGCTATTCTAAAGATGCATGTTAATGCTACAACTAGCATGTATTCAACTTGGAATTGAGATACAAATACAGTTAGTATGATGCGCGAGCCCGTGCATGCAAGACAGATAAATGAATGCAAACATGCTATCATATCTTATGCTAATTGAAACATGCCATAATCTAACATCATAAGCTGATAAATAAAAGGGAGAAAGACGTTGGAAGACATACATCACACACACGCACCACTTATTACAACATGCCCTCGCAGAGGGTCCGAATAAATAATATACAGTCCCGAATAAATAGTACAATCCGCAATAAGTACAAAATCACTAATTAATTAACACATTAATCTAAAAGCAATAAATCACAGCAAATCAGTACCGCCTCAGCTCTGTTCCGGATGATGAATGATGCATGCTTGAATTTGCCTTGCGCGGAAATCCCTTGCATGCCCCGTTTGCCCTCTGTTTGCAATTTTCTTGGAACGGTCCAAGCTTTGGAAGGTTGTTATTTCTGATTTGCTGCACAACAGAGAGCAACAAAGGGCATGGCAAGTTTTCCACATATGTATGCATGACTACTCTTCGAGAGTGTAGTCCTCGATCCTCGCTGCCATCAATCACGCATCTCGATGCATGATGGCGAGAGTCAAATTACATGACTCAATATGGAATGAATGCACATGAAAACACAACAGGCCTAGACTCCATCATGATAATCCGGAGTTTCGGCGACGGAATTGAGACACGTTCCGTCACTCGGATACGAACAGTCACTCGTTTCCCGTGTTGGGCTAACCCTTTCCCAAACAATGCAAATGAAATGGCATGCAACAATGCGACTAACATACAAACTAGCATACGCAATGCTATGAAATGGCATACACCAATGCTCGATGTAACATGGCATACACAATGCTCTAACACGCAACCTAATATACGCAATGCCTATGAATTGAAAGGCATACACAATACATAATGGACTTACACTAACAGGGTGTACCTCACCACACACATCAGAGCCATTAGATGAAAATGAGATCTACGAAATGCGTGCACACATGCACGCAAATCGAGGACCGAATCAAGGTACAATGTGCAACTCTAACAAGGCATGGCAGGCATCCACATGGCATTCAAACATGTAAATTTCAGCACTGAAATATGATGCAAAACTATCCCGAATCATGCATATAATGGCACCCGATGCGAGTAAGCCCGAAAACTCAAAACTAGGCACATGGAATGACTTATAACTATACAAAGCATGCATTTTGATAATGAACATGAAGACAGAGCAAGCAGTCCCAAAACATGAACATTTCCAGTTCAAAGTATGCCAAAAGATGCTAGCATGGTGGACAAAATACATGCAATCTTGACTAGCAAGTCATGGTTTTACATGGCAAGTATATGAAGCAATGTAATCTCACCAAACCAGCAAAAATCAGTGAATAAATCATGTGAAATAGGCCCAAATAACCACTGATATGCAACCATGGATGCAAAAAAATAATGAGTTACTTGGAGCCATGCAAGGAGTTATTAAGCACATGCAAGGTAGACATTTATCATGGCATAAACAACTATGAAAATCAAATATGTAGTCCTAAAACTCACCCAAATTGACCCTGGAAAGTGACTTCGAAGCATGCAAGGTAGGATCTCTTTGGAAAGGCAAAAAGCCACACAATAAGAAAGGAGAGAGGGGTCACCCCCTCTAATCTTGGCTCTCAAAACAGGGTCTTAGCACTAAAAATCCACTGATTTCTAGCTAGAAGGCCAAAACAAGGCAACGCAAATCTACACATGTATGCTCAAAACATGAAGAAATAAGCATGCAAGGAAGGAGATTGACCTCAAACAAGAAAATGCCCTTAACCAAACATCAGAGGCCTAAAAAAAAAAACTTTTTCCAGTTTATAACAATTCAAAAACAAAACAAATAGGCAAACTATCATACAAAGATGCCCTAAAAGAGAGAATAGAGACAAGGAAGAACTCGGCCTCAAACAGTGACGAGCCCTCAAAAAGTTTAATAGGGGCTCAAAAATAAGAACTTTACAGTCATGACAAGTCCAAAAAACAGCTAAAAGTAGGGCTACAATATGAGTAAAAAAAAGCCCTAAAAGAGAGATAGAAAGAAGAAGGCATACTGGCCTCAAAAAGAAAGCCTTCAACAAAGTTGAAGAGGGATCAAAATAAAGCACTTTACAGTTTGGCTCGAAGCCCAAAAATTCTTACAAA